ACACAGATGAATAGTATATAATGTGGATTTTGATGATGATAGAGCACCAGTTTTAAGTCAGCTTGTAGTTTTAAAACTTGAACAATGAAATAATTGAAAAAGGTGTTTCATGGCAGCCTAGAACATCTCTGAAATGACTGTCTTTTTAAGGGTTAGTTAGATGAAAAGATGACTTGAATGTAAGTTAGGTACTTGCTTATATATTTGGCTTTTTGCCATTGCTATAAGGCCTGCCTGAAATAGACACTGTCAAATCAGATACCATCTGTTAGTCTTAATAACATCCTCTGGTCTCCCTCCTACTTACCACCTAATGAACTTTCCCTGTACTAATTCCAAATAGCTTCCAACTGATTATATTAAGTTAGGATCCATTTATCCAATCATGAGACATTGATGTAGTGTCCGTAGTAAAGTCCTTGTTCTTCAAGATCTTATAACCTGTTTGGGAGACAGATGATAATGATGATGCCTCCTGATAATCTAATGAGATGAGTAATGTTAGAGGCCAACTACAGAGATTGTGAGTCATTCTTATTTTCTGTCTTAGAACAGATTATCCCATGCAATCCAAGTCCTCCCTGGAAATAGTGTTCTGTGCAGTTTATGTGGCATGGAGTAACAGGTACCGAGGGCTTCCTTTCTTTTTCTTTTTTTTTTTTTTTGCTATAGGGTGCTCGCCAGATATATAGAGACAGACAGAGAGATAGAAAGCGAGAAATCACCCCCAGGGGGGATGGCCACGCTGCAATCCCTTCTCTTCCGTTCTCCTCTTGGGATCTTGGGCACGCACGCACACGCGCCCGGCGTGAGTTTAAGCCACCGGGTCCGGGACTCGAACCGCAGTAGACTATGTGGGAGTCCAGCGACATAGCCATTACACTAACTGCTGGTCCCCGATACATCATGACTTTTCTGACAGCCCAGTACACAGAAACTATTCCAGTGAGTTATTTCTAGCAGACAAAAGTAAGTTTAGTTTTGGGAACCAGCAGTTCCCTCTGGGGGGTGATTTCTCACTTTCTGTCTCTATGTCTCTCTCTGTCTGGCGAGCGCACGCACCCTATAGCTAAAACCTCTCAAAAAGAAAAAAAGTAGTTTATATCCCACTATTCTTTTATAAACCACCATCATGAATGGTGAGTTAAGTCATAGCCTGGTAAATTTACTTAATAATCATCTGATGAAGATTTTTGTAAATCTTTACCAGTTCCATTCAACAGTTGGGTATCAATTAGTGATGATTACCTCTCCAGCATTGATTGATTTCCACTGTTGAGTAATTAGATTCCTTTGGCTCTCATCCCTACTTCTTACTTTTTTACGTTCAATACTAACTACACAGTTAAGCCGATCTTCCTTCTTAATTTCTATACATACCTGTAAGTGCTACTACTTGAAAACTGTCTGTTGACATAAAACTATATAGGCTTCTATAGCTGAAAGTGATCTTATTAAGGAAAGAGTCTTAGATATCTGAAGTAATTTGTCCAAGGGATACATAATAGTAGCAAACATTGAATTTAAATTAAATCTAACTTCTTTTTCTTTCTTTCTTTTTTTTTTTGGAGAGGTTTTTGCAATAGGGTGCGTGTGCTCACCAGAAAGCCGAGGAAACAGAGAGGCAGAAAGCGAGAAATCACCCCCAGGGGAGAGGGCCATGCCGCAATCCCTTCTCCTCACAGGATCTTGGACACATGCAGACACATGCCCAGTGTCAGTTTAAGCCACCGAGTCAGGGACTCAAACCTCAGTTGACTACATGGAAGTCCAGCAACATAGCCATTATGCCAACTGCTGGTCCCACAAATTCAACCTAATTTCTAGGCCACTCTGCTGACATATTCACTTTCCCAGGTTTTGTCTTTTCATTGCAGCACAATGCTACCCACAATCATCATTTTCAGTGTTCAACTGCTCAATGGAACTGATGTGTTCAGTGCAAAACTTCTTCCATGGGGTCCAGCAGATGGCGTAATGGTTACATTGCCAGACTCCCACAGGCCAACTGAGGTTTGAGTCCCAGACCCAGGCTTAAAACTCACACCAGGAGCATGTGTATGTGTGCCCAAGATCCCAACAGGAGAATGAATGAGAAGGGATTGCCGGTAGGCCATCCCCTCTGGGGGATGACTTCTCATTTTCTGTCTGTCTCTCCAGCAAATTCACGTGCCCTATAGCAAAACAAAAATCTCTTTAAAAAAAAAACTTCTATGCTTCCTAGTCATTAGTATATGCCTAAATCTTTTTTTTTTTCCCTTGACCATGCATTGTAGCCCCCACCCACAGATCTTTCCATTTGGATGTTCTAATTTTCCAATTCCAGTTCCAGGCCTCACCCACCACTTTCATCCTCTAAATTCCTTCTCTAAATTCCTTTCCAGTAGTGATGGCACCATTTTTCTGTTTCCTAGACTTAAAACCTTGGTGGTGGTGAATCAGTCCTTTTTTCTTTCCTCTTCACCATCTCCACACGTGCTCTTCCTCCCCTACAGTCACATTTGTCCAGGTCCTTCTTTACATTTTCTTCTTGAGATTTTTTGCTATACATACATAGGGTGTGTGTGCTCGCCAGAGAGACAGACAGAAAGCGAGAAATCACTGCCCGCCACCCCCACCCCCCAGGGGTGGTGGCCACACAGTAGTCCCCTCTCCTCCATTCTCCTCTTGGGATTTTGGGCACACACGCACAGGGGGCCTGGCGTGAGTTTTAAGCCACTGGGTCCGGGACTTCAGCTGCGGTCGACTATGTGGGAGTCCAGTGAAATAACCATTATGCCATCTGGTGATCCCTACATTTTTCCTAAATAATTTCCCTGACCCTGTTTTTGGCCTCTAAGAATGTTATAGTTATTTTGAGGCTGATTCCATTATTTACTAATCATACAGCCCTAAGGCAAATTATGTGAACTGTCAGACCCTGTTAACTCATTTGTAAAGTGGGATAACAGTTATCTTAATAAGTGTTAAGATTTATTGAAATAAGATTTAGAGACAGCCAGCAGGCGTGGTGGTCAAAGGCAGTTGGATCCAAGATCACGGGCACATACATACACTCAGTGTGTAGTGTGAGATCTCTAAACACGAACCTGGGATGTTTCCATATGGCTTCAGCAGTGTGGAGTATTGTTACCATTGCGCAGCCACACTGGCTAATACTTGAAGACTTCTTACAGTTGTTAGTGTCTCCTTTGCTGTATGGTCACATCAAATTCTAAGTATAGCTTTTTTGTGTGTTGGTCTATTTTTGTTTATGTCAATTGTATTGAGATTTAATTCACATACCATAAAATCCACCTTTGAAAGTATATGATTCAGTGATCTTTGGTATAGTCACAGGGTTGTGCAACCATCAACAGTATCTAATTTTAGAATTTTCATTACTCCAGAAAGAAACCCCACACCCATGAGTAGTCAGTCCCTTGGCATTCCTCCCTGCAACCAGCAATCTATTTTCTGTCTCTGTGGATTGGTCTGTTCTAGGCAGTTCATATAAATGGAGCCATACCATATATAACCTTTTGTATCTAGCTTCTTTCACTTAGCATAGTTTTCAAGGTTCATCCGTGTTGTAGCATGTATTTCATCCCATATCAAGGCTCAATAGTCCATCATATGGATGGATGTATTTTGTTGATCCACTCATCACTTTGGGTTATTTCTACTTCAGCTATTATAAATAATAATGCCATGAACATTCAAGTATATTTTTATATGGGCATTTGTTTTCAGTTCTCTTATATATGCCTAGGGGTGGAATTAGTATAGAATTTTTAGTAACTAGGAGCCAGCAGTTAGTGTAATGGATATGTCACTGGACTCCCATGTACTTGACCATGATTCGAGTCCTGGACCCGGTGACTTAAACTCACACCAGGTGCATGTGTGTGCGTGACCAAGATCCCTAGAGGAGAATGGAGGAGAAGGGATTGCTGTGTGGCCATCCCCCCTAGAAGGTCATCTCTCGCTTTCTGTCTCTCTGTCTTTCTGGCGAGTGCATGCGCCCTACAACAAAAAACAAACAAACAAAAATTTTTTTTTAGTAACTAAAGCAACGAATGAAATGGCATAGAACCAAAGTTTTTCATTTGAGGGATTTAGGAGTCCCTTTCTATACCGTTTCCATAAGATGGAAATCCTTTGTTTTGTTTTAATTTGCTAATGGGTGCATCTACTCACCAGAGGGAAATGAAGGAGAGAGAAAATGAGAAAGAATCTCTGCACACACACCCACCCCATGGCTACACCATGGGGTGTTTCTTCTCTTGGGGCTTTGGACATGAATGCTGTGCATGCACATATACTTACCCAGTGTGTTTTTTCAAACTGCCAGGTCCGAGTCTTAAACCATGCCATCGGCCATGTGGAATCCAGCTGTCCTAACCACCATACCACCCAGCTGGCCCCTAAGATGGTAATTTTTTGTACTGGACCTTACAGAGCACCATGCTCCCTGTGATGCTTGGCACCTCAGAGAAACTAAGAGAAAAGCAAGAGCCTGCAGTCAGCTGACTGCAGCAATACACATATAGTAGAGTGCTTAAATTTAGGATAGGGTAACAAAATAACCCTTAAGTGATTTACTCTGACCACATCATTTTATTTTCATTTACTTTACATAGCAGGTGGCATTGCAAGAATCAGAGAGGTAAATGTTCTCAAAATGATACAGATTAAAGAAAACTTAGATTAAGGTGAACGTTTAAAAATTATCCTATCTTTTGCTTTAGAGCATGAACCATTTGTGAGGGTAAAATGTTTCCTGTTCTGTCAGCCCTCCCCCTTGCCATCCCAGACTAAACTGAGAAGGGAAGGGGGTGGGGATATGGAGAAGCTGTGGAATGTTTTGGTCTCTAATGCCACTCAGCTCAGGAGTAGGCCCTGCCTTCATCTTTATAGAAAGCCAGGAAAAGGGAAATGCTGAGATAAGAGCCCAGTGTCATGTGGCATATGTCAGTCACTCAGAGTTCACTAATCATTCTCCCTTTTCTGTTTTTCAGTGAACGAGATAATTGGGAGAGACATGTCCCAGATTTCTGTTTCCCAAGGAACAGTGGGGAGCAGGCAGATTCCCCTCCTGGATCCTGAGTCCTTGGATTTAGGAAGATCCGACGTGCTCTGAGTGCTCACTGCAGCCTTGTGTCTACCACCAACTTCTCAGCATGTTTCTGTCCCTGGACCTCGTGTTTCCAACTGTGTGGCCATCAGGACTGGTGCCAGGCATTGGACTCACCATTTGTGGAGAAAACAGCATTCTCTACCTTGGGCCTAGGGTAGATTTTGTAAAGAATAGGAGCAGCCTAGGCTGCTTGAGCTTTGGGAAATGAGCTTTGCTTTTTATATTTAAATAGGATACTTTTATATGATGGGTGCTTTCGAGCGTGAATGCGGCAGGCTCTCCATTTCAGAGGTGCTGCTTTTGCAGGTTACCTGGTTGCTTTGCTAGGATTAGTGTTTGTACTGCTTTTTGGTCATTTGAAGGGCCCTTTAGTTTGATGATATTTTTAAAATAGGAACTTTTGATAAAACTTTCCAGAGGCAAAAAAAAGTTTAAAAAAATATCCCAAGCCCACACCTATGCCACAGAAATTCAGCATGTGTCCTGAAGCCTTTCGTAGATTCATAGGAAATAAAGCCAAATGTAGCTCATACCTCTTTATAAAAGCAAACCGTTGTTAGATAAAATAAGAGACCATTCCATCATTGAAGTGTTGGAATATAAAGACATTCCAGAGCATAGCCTTTTTGTAACTTTCTAGGTAATCTTCCTGCACTCTCTCCATACTGGCTCCATGTTGAAATTGCTTTATTCCCTAGGGACCTTGCACAAGGTGGGGTTTTAGCTTGGTAGCTTTAATTTCCTGCCATCCTAAACAACTAGTAGGCTGTGGAGTGCTTTTCCCTTTTGTGTTTTCTGGTCACAGAACCTTTTCCAAGTGGGAGTACCTGCTGTTGGCTCTTCTGTTGAAGCCACATCTCATGTTGTTCTGAGCAGGTTTGCAGTTCCAACTTTTTCTCTAGAAGCCAGGCTTTGTCAGTAGCTATTAAGCACATATGAACTCTCTGCATCACAATGAACAGAGAAAATGGAGGACTCCAGGTGAGAAGGTTTTAGGGTCTTATGCTGCACGGAGGGCTTATCTCCTATTCTGTTCACAATCTGAAATGATTCTTGGCCTACCCTGTCTGTATGACCTAAAAACCACCACCCTTTTCCCTAGGAGACTTTAAGCACGTCTAAAAATGCAGTTATATCATCGACCTGACCCTTTACACCAAAGAAGCCCTGGTGCTGGTGCTGCTGGTGCTGCTTGGTGTCCAGGGCAGGAGCCAGCAGGA